TGCTACCACGCTACCGCCTTCACCTGGTGGTGCCCAAGGCCTCCTTCAACACGCCAGCACTTCCTCTCCTTCTCCTCCAGAGCCCCGAAGCTCACCGCCACCTTGAAGCCACGGCGCTGGCTCCCACACCACCGCCCATTCTCCAATTGTCATAAACCGCAGCTCCGCCGCTTTCCTTGAGGTCGCGCTTCGAGCTTACTCCGCTTTTCGAGCACAGGTCGGGCCTCCCGCTGCTCGCGCCACGCCGACGGCCATGGCGCCACTGCACGGCCGCCATGGAATCCGCCTTCCTTCTCCCTCCACCGCTTAGCTACCTACTACCGAGCTCGCTTTCTCCTCAAGGCGCCTCTCGCATGCTCATTGCGCTGCCAGGCCGGAGATTTGCCGCCGTCATTGGCCGAGTCACATTGTCATTGCCAGCAAAATACACACCTTTAAGAAGGCGCTCATTTCTACCGGTAGCCGAAAGCAGCCGAGGGTCGACGCCTCGATGGGCCGCCCCTCCTCGTGCTTTCAGCCACAGAGGCTTTACTGTGGCCGTGGGCGCTTCATTTCGTGGGCGGCCCAAAGAGCATTTAAATGATTTGTTTTCAATTTATTCATTATTATTTAAAAATGTAAATGGTTTGCAAAATATTTGGATACTCAAAGTTGCTCCAAATTTGTTGAAACAAATTTTTCTAGGTTCCTTATCACCAGATCTACTTGGGAAAAATAGTGCATATCATTTTGATATACTTTTCTGTAGGATTTTATTTAATCATAAATATTGCTGATAACTTGAAAATGTGTAGAAAAATCTATAGTCTTCAGAAAAATATGATTCCAAGTTTGTTAATCTTATTATGTCATGTACTTCCTAGGAAAAATATGTTTCATATATGTGCCGTGGGAAAATTTTGAGGTGTAGTTCAAGTACCTTAGATGGTTGATTTTTGTTATTTTTGCTAGAGAGCAAAATTTGTATAAAACATGCATGTGGTAATTTTTGTATAGTGATTATTTACTGTTTAGAATCTAGGAAAATACTAATTCTGTTGTTTGACACTTTTCATAGTACAAAGTAAATTCATGCTCATTTTTATGCTATAGCTTGTCATTTTTGTGTAGGATAGTTTACTTATCCAAATGCCATGAAATTTTTATGGTAGTCTGTTTAGGGTAGTAGTATGCTACTGTATTTTTCTCAGATTTTAGGAGCATCAGAAATATAGGTTGCTATTCAAACCTATTATTAATTAGGGTTTAAGCAAGTGTTGCTTTTAAGTGTGATTAAGAAATTAGTAAAGCTTTGGTGTATCTTTGAAGCATTTCATAAGATAGGTTAACTTAACATATTAGTAGTAGAAGAGAATGCAGAGATGACATGTGCTTGTAGTATAGTTCTTAGATGATGTTGACTACCTTGCATTTCAACATATCCATCGCATTCATCTCCTTCGATGCACCGCTTGCATAATCCCTTACGCCAGCATTGCATCATACAGATCGCAAACCGAGAACCCAAATCGTCATACCCGAGGAGCCCGAGGAGCAGCTCGAGGTGCAAAGCAGCAGGAAGTGCCGTGGTTTCTACGAGGAGGACGTTGAGGAACTTCCGGAGTGCCCCGATCACCGCCTCGAGCTCCTTCGAGAGAGGCAAGCCCCGAGCATTTTTCTCCCGGTTTGCAATGATTTAATTAAATGCTTTACTTTAATTGATGCATTACGTTCAGGAGTTGTTTGCAAATCGCTGTCGCATTATACCTTGTTTACCTTTGTTATACTATATCCTTGTTACCCCGGTATCCGCAATGAAGTCAATGCTTAGCCGGCTTAGACCGGTAGAAGTCGGGTGATTTCGTCACCGCGAGAGCTATAGGTGGTTACCGATCTCGCTTGGATGACTATGAAGTCATGGTATAACTAAGTGTTAAATGAAGTTGAGACCGGACGGAGACTTGCGTAGTTTTGGACCGTAGTGTTTCCGTCTGCGTCGGTCGATTAAGGACCGACCGTTGTTGGGCCTCGAGTCATGTTGAACGATGCCTTACATTTAGTCGGCCGGATAAAGTATCTTCCGACCGCTGGCCGGGAGATTTTTTGGGCCGAGTGGATTGCCCAGCAGCAGACCGTGTCAAGCAGTGTGTGGTAGGACACGGGCGGGATGATAAGGCCAAAGTGCAATCGGTCGGCCCCGGTACATGTGGTTCCCCGCAAACTCGAGATTCCCGGAAAGTTGACTCGGTGATCAATATCTCACTTTAGCGGGTGAGTGAGGTTTGTGTAAGGAACAAATCACCACCGGTTAGGAAATCGATTCGAATCGCCATCGCCTCCCGGATAGTGAGCACTTGACTTGAGTTACTTCATCGTAGTAAATGTTATGAAACACTTGGACAGCTTATAATGAATCGACAAAGATGGAAGTTGCTTAATGATCATTGATTATCATTATCCGCTTAATCACATGTTTACTCTAGTATAGGTGCAAATCTAGTTGATGTGTTAATAATAATTAACTTGGCAATAATGCTTTTAGAAAGGTTCTTGAAATACTAAAATGCTTCTTTTGCAAATGAGTCACTACCCTACTATAAAGCCCTTCATAATCCTTGGTGTCATTTATTTTTGGTGTTATGTCGGTAAGTCCGGCCGAGTACATTCTCGTACTCGTGGTTTTATTCCCACTTGTTGCGATGGGCGTATGTACTATGGCTACCAGATCAACCGCTCAGATCCCGCGATGGTGATGCTTAGGACCATGGGCATGGTCATTCCTTACGCCTCGCCTAATGCTTTTGTTGGAGATGATCATCACCGGCACTATATTTGAACTCCGTGTGAGTGTGTGTGGTTTTAAACAAATGACTTCCGCTACTTTTATTCGAACTTATTTTGTAATAACTATGTTTAAACTCTGATGTATCTGTTATGCAAACTTTTATGTAATATGTGATTGGTGACCGCTAAACTTATTACGATCATGGCTGGGACACGAGTTGGTTTGAAATCCTTCGTGATTTCACGGACTACCGGGTTATACGGGCTTAAGTTTGCTCAATCGTCTGCTCTGGTGGATGATTTTCTTACTTAATTTCGTATAATTGGTCGGTTCTGTTACAGAGATGAGCGAGCAATGCCTTATGACCGGGCGGGCCGTGGTCCATGGGCCATGGCATAGACGCCGAGAACAGGCGGAGGTGACGCAAGTGGTGGCTTAGGTAAGGTTGGCAAACTAGTGGCGACGACGGCGTTGTCGACAGGCGGCGGCGTGGTGGAGTGGTTTCCTCGAGGGGGGAAAAAGAGAAAATAGGCTGCGGCGTGGTGGTAGGCTCCTGAAGCCCATCCGTCGTCAAATTTTTTCACAGCCAACAAGTAAGCAAAGGAGAGAATTTTTTTAAAAAAAGTAAACAAAGGAGAGGGCATATGATTGCTGACACATGGCAATCCAAGGGCCACAGGGTGAGGCGGTGTGCAGTTCGGTTAGAGCATCTCTAAATCTCCTCTCAATCCGTGTTTTTTTTACAAGATCAGAAAACCCTCCTCTACTAACTCCTAATCCATTCTTGTAATCTTTTGTCACTCGAAAAACTCCCCCAACCCGCATAAAGTTACACGCCATGGTCATCGCACGTATCCTCTCCTCCCACGCGGTTTCCCTCGTGTCGTTGTCCTTTGGCGTGGTTTCTTCCTTTGTGCCTTCTTGTGCCGCCGTCCGGAGGAGATCCCTCATGTCGCGTCGAGCTTCGCGGCGACGCTGTCCAGCCCACGGCGGAGGTCGTCGCTGGGGCAGAGCCTCACCATCTCCCTGACGTCGAACACCCTGCGATGGCAGAGCAGCGCCCTGGCGATGACTTCAAACTCCGCCGCCGACGTGAGCATCCGAAACCCAGGCCCGAGCATCATCTTCAGCAGGTACGCGAGGTCGTAGCCGCCGCTGGCCGTGACGACGCCGGCGCGGCCCACTTGCGCAGCCACGGACCGAACGCCGCCGCGGCGTCGACACCGTGCCGCCGCGTCTGGTCCAGGTCGATGCTTCTGGCCTGCGGCTCCACGATGGACTCCGCCGCATGGCGGTGCCGCCGGACATCGAAGCCTTTCGCGCAAAAAAAAGTTGCTGCAAAAATTTTTTACCTAAGTGGGACTAAATTTTGTTTTTTTAGATAAATATTAGGTACTATTAGAGATGGCCTTTTCTTTTCTCTCAATAGTTTTGGTATACGAAAACAAAGAAGGTTTGTGATTCGGGTCAGTACAATATATGAGGATTAGCAAGAGTGCTAGTTTTTATTGAGACATAAGCTTTGGAAACTAAAAAAGCTACTACTATTGTATTTCACATGGGTCCGCTCGGCTGTGATTTTCATGACACTGCAGCGGATGCGGCGGCGGCTGCTTATTTTGTTCTACAAAGCACAGTACCTGCACGCAGGATGGCTGCAGCAGTGCTGCTGCCAGCAGCAATTCCGATCAGGCTGACTTCAAAACCTGCTTTGATCAAACTGTAAACACTGCTGACAGTTAATTCGTATTGCTTCAGGAGAAACATTTCTAAATCTAAACTAAAACCAATAACTTGGAAGTGTACTGCCATGATTGGACTCCTGAATTTTAGCTTCTTTTGAGACAACGGTTACTGCATACTCCGCATATTTTATACTAAAATTACAGTTTTAGTCCATTGTAATTTATGTAGCCATAATCTGCAATTTTTGGTTTCAAAAATAAAAAAAAACTGTTAGACAAAACCACAAACCCGACAAAATCTGATTCATGTCGGCACAAAGACAATTTATAATTTACAATTGTTTCTATAGTTATACTAGGACAAAAAAATAATATATTATGATACAAAGACAAATAACAAATAACAAAAAATAATTTACTTGTACTAGTTGTACAAGAGTGTTGCCTAAAATTATCTTAAAATTCAGGTGCCTAAAATTATCTTAAAATATGGAAAATATGGAAGTGTTTGACTCCATTAACACAAGAGAGATGGAAAATACAATCCCTATTTAAGGAGTCTTCGGCTTGGGCTTGAGTCTCTTGAGCTGTGAGTACAGGAAAACTCCGGCAAGTGCAATCGCAGTACCTGTACACACACAGATGAAAGCATGTAATGGTGATACAACAGAAGGATGAAATAGGACCAAAACAGAGAAACAAGTTTAAGCAACATGCTTACCGAGAGAGTTGATAGGAGAAACAGGTGTCCTGAAGAACAGCACTGATGTTACAATGACCACAACACGCTTAACACAGTTGCCCACAGAATGAGTGACAGGAGACACCATCGCCAAAATCATGTAAGACACCTTCAACAAAATCAAACAAGAGAAACAATGAGACACTGAAGATATCCTTGCAATACACATGCAGCTACGTATATAGGAAAAGAAAGAATATATCAAATGTCATGCATTAGGAACGAAATCTTGTACACCCGCTTTTACAGGTCTTATTTTGGCCAATCAGCACTATGCCGCCTTGACTATGACATCATGTTAAGGCACAACACCATACAGACACATGCTCCATGATAACAGAATCTCATTTGCGACGAGAATATGCTGATATACTAACTACAATAAGATTGCTTTAGTGGAGATGGTTTTTGTTGTAGACACACGGTTCACATTTTCCACACTGCTGGATATAGCCTAAGATTTTTGAAAATCAACACTTGTTACAAGTTTATGTGCGTACGTATTCCTCCCTCCAAGCAGGCCATTAGCAACTTAACGCTACATATGCAGCACAGGGTTTAAAGGCATAAAATACAAAGACATAATTAGTTCCTCATGCTATTTGCAGCTGTTGCAAGCCACATATGTGGAATAAAAAATGTATTTGCAATCTGCACAACTCTGAGCTCTACATAAAACTGAAACATCGAATAGATAACACACTGCAGTCTACAACTCAAGATATGAATATATATCACCAAGTACATGGAGTAACTTGACTGACCTGTTGGTATGCATGGAAACACAGTCCAGCAATAAGAGACCTTGTAAGGACCTGGTTTACATTCAGACCCTACAAACACATAAAGCCAATCAAAATTAACCCTGATAGTTCTGCAAGGTGCAGTTTCCTGTCTTTATCTTTTACTTTGGTAAGCAATGGATTCAAATTTGAACATTGTTACACTTACAGCAGATTGCAAAAATGTAGGAGTAATTTTGACACCTTCTGTAAACAAGGTAACAGGGGCCAAAACGAAAAATGACATCACTGTAATGATAGAGAAGAGATTAAGGTTGTCCAAGGATTCCTGTGGAAAGAGAGCATATGAAGTGCATTAGGAATTAGAGATGGAAGTGGACAAATTGCATATGATGGACATGACAGAAAAGAAGCCAATGCAAGTTCATAAACAAACTATCTTTAAGATGCAAGATATTTTAGTTACCTCTTTCTTAACCATGAGCTTCTTGCTCAGTACATTCCGGGATTGAAAGGTAACATTTGAAGCCATTGCACTCCAAAAGCCAGCCCTGTTTTCATCAAATTACCACCAAGTTAATATATTTCACAGTGGAACTCAGGGATACTAATGGTATCTCTTTTGGGTGTAACAGAAGCTCCTACACTATAAAGTTTAGTTTGGCTATGCTTGGATTCAAATGATAGTGATTGTTACTTACCAGTTAAAGGATGCCTCAGTAAGAGATGCCAATGCAACACCACCAACAATTGGAAGAAGAGATACTACTACCCAAACAGTAGGTAACTGCCATCCGAATACGATTTAGTACAAGAAGACAAAGAAATTTCTTAAAATTCAAAACATGTTGCTTACGTAGCATTTGTATAGGGATGAAAAATTACCTCACCAAGGAAAATTGCAGAAAGAAGAACAGAAAAGAAAGGCTCCATAGCCTTGATGGTGTGCGTAAATGATACTGCAACTTTCCCAAGGCTCATGTTGGTGAAGAGATTGCCCATAGTGTGAACAATAGCCAGAGGTAGGATGGCTAATAGCTGAAAATTGTTAATATGAACATGAGTATTAATACAGATCCAAGTAAACAGCGTAAAGTTTGTAATAAAATGTTAAAGGTTACCTGTGCTCCAGAAATCTTTGGCCTCTTAATAATACCTGTGATCCACATGAACAAAGATGCTACAGTTCCGACAGCAAATTGAACTTCTGTGATGTTTATGGGGTATGGGAAAACCTTGAGAACCTGTCACATACAGTAAAGGCAAGAGAAAGTTGATGTATATCGTCCTGGATATCAGTACAAATCTAGCATTCTGCCAGGAAAAAGTGCTCTAAGATAATAAAAAGAAGAGTTAAATGCACCGTAGGTTCATTAACTTTTTGTGGTGTGTCATTTAGGTCCATCAACTTTCAAACTGCATTTTTGGATCCATTAACTTTTGGTGGTGTGTCATCCAGGTCCATCAACTTTCAAACTGCATTTTTGGGTCCATTAACTTTTGGTGGTGTGTCATCCATATCCATCAACTTTTAAATTGCATTTTTGGGTCCCTAGACTTTTTAACTGGTTCACCGTAGGTCCATACCCCTTCGTTTAGCGAATAGATCTGACATGGCACGCCAAAAAAGCAGCCACCGTGGAGTACAAGACGAGATCACCATCCGGAGATAATCTTCAATACGAAGAACCTGATAGGACCACCATCTAGGGTTTCTCGAGCGGCGGCTCAAGGGGGAATAAACTCCACAATAAAATCCAGTCTAATCTACCTGGTATAAGGCCGAAGGCCACAGGTATAGGCACGCAAGCCACCTGACCCAAACAAAACTCGGACTCCACCAGCCCAACTAGGACCGATTGACCCTGAGTACCTGATTCGGCTAACATACATGGCACGTCCAAACGTAGCCGCCAATTTGATTCACGTACACAGGTGCACGCAGGCACTAAAAGCTACTCCCTCCATCTCAAATTGTAAGACGTTTGACTTTTTTTGTCCCAAGTTTGACCACTCGTCTTATTCAAAAAATTTGTACAAATATAGTCAAATTTAAGTCATTCTTGAAGAATTTTTATTAATAAACCAAACAACGATGAAATAAGTGATATTTTACACAAATTTTTGAATAAGACGAGTGGTCAAATTTGGTGTCAAAAAAGTCAAACGTCTTACAATTTGGGATGGATTGAGTATATGCTAGATAAAAGATCGTATATCACAACTGGATAGGAAACTAATGCATGGAAATAATAAAATACTACAGCAAGGATGCTAATCACGTTGGGAAAATTCCATTTATGATCTCCACCTCTTTAGAATTAGTACTGATGTATTTTGTTGGCTTCATTTTCTCCTTCTTTCCACGCAATAATAAGGTACCTCTATAAAATATCTTTGATGACAGTCCAGCAGTTGTAAATTTCTCCATGTCCACAATATATTTATCCTTAAAAATAATGGTTCCAAATTTAAGACCAGAGGATATGAACGAATTACCAGCTGCTACATTTGAATTATTACTAGACAAGTCTCCATGAACATCTTGAGGAGCTATGGACTCATCACCTACTCCACGGTGGTTGCTTATTTGGCGAGCCATGTCAGATCTATTCGCTAAACGAAGGGATATGGACCTACGGTAAACCAGTTAAAAAGTTTAGAGACCAAAAAATGCAATTTAAAAGTTGATGGACCTGGATGACACATCACCAAAAGTTAATAGACCAAAAAATACAGTGTGAAAGTTGATGGACCTGGATGACACACCACCAAAAGTTAATGGACCAAAAAATACAGTTTGAAAGTTAATGGACCTAAATGACACACCACCAAAAGTTAATGGACCTACGGTGCATTTAACTCTAAAAAGAAAACTTGTACACTGAATATCAGTTCTGTATGTTCAACAAAACAATGATTTTTTACATTGCAAGATTTTCTACAAATGCCAGTGCTGACACCAGGGCAGAGTAAAGCAGCAGATTAATAAGTAGGCCACTGGTCAGTAGGCCAAAATATTGGAACATAAGTTCTTAAACAAGGTTAGCATCAATCATAATAAAACAATCAAAATAGCACATACATTTAATTTTCAGCCAAGTACAATGTTATCAGTCTAACATAAGTTGAACATATGTAAGACCCTCACATAGTAGTCTGAACATATGTAAGACCCTCACAGGTACCTTGCATAAAACAAAAACCCCCATCATAGTAGTCTCCCATATATATTTATAAGAACCAAATTAACATCTGCACACCAAAAGCAGAAAAGAATCTCTAATTTCTTAAAACAACTAACACCTCCACTTATGTACACTAATAAGGCTGACAAGAGTGGCAAGATATCTCAATCCATTTCTACACTTTTAGCAACAAGGTAGTACCACTTACAGTAAACATCGTCATCCTACAGAGATAAACAGGGAATTCAACATTTTTAAACATTCAGAAATAATACTTGTTGCTGAGCAAACAATGAGAGATCCAAAATGACAAAGAGCAAAAGAAACATGAGAGAAATAATCAAACTCAATCGTATCAGCAGAATTACCATCTCAAGTCATCAGATATTCAGAACCACCAAAATTACATAAATTACTCTGCCCATTAATCTATCTATCTGGAATCCTCTTATGCAAGACTGAGGGAAGCGTACAAGACAACATCATCACTCCGCAGTCCGCACCCAAAGAGGACAGGACAGGTAAACAACCACGACACTAGCGTACCAATTAGCTCAGTTCAAGAACGCAATCTCACGTCAGGACATCTGACCTGCTTGTTATAGATGTTGAAGTAGATGTTGAACAGGTACCAGAGGCCGAAGAGCGAGCCGAGCCACAGCGTCTTCATGAGCCCGCCGCCTTCCTCCGCACTCGGGGCCGCCACAGCGTCCCCGGCCGCGCCGCACGACACCTGTCGCTGGCGGGACTTGGCCTCCCGATCCGGCGAGGCTGACAGCAGCCCGAGAGCCAGACCGGGAGTGGTAGCGATGGAGCCAGCGGCGGAGACGCGGAGCGGGCGGGCCGCGAGGAGGGGGCGGCTAGGATTACGGCTCACCAGCTGCCCGGCGAGGCACGGCCGGAAAGCCGCGGCGCTCTGCATTATTCTAGAAGGGATGGTACGCCACTTGCAGAACCTCCACACGGTGGGGCTGCCGGGCTGGGGAGCTGGACGACGGGCAGTGGCGAGGTCGAGGTGGCGGTGGGCAGAACGGGCACTGGGGAGCTCCAGCCTCTCCAGGGGATGATGGGATGGGATAGCTTTATCTTTGACAACGGGACATGGTCATCGCGTCGGAAAACGAAAACTGGGCGGACTGGACTACCGTGCCGGCTCCCTCTTTCTCGCTCCCTCTCTCCTCACCTCTCACGTCCACCTCTATCTCATCCGCTGCAATCCGTGACGTGAGAGAGGGGAGGGGACGGGGCCGGAGCCGGAGCCTGGCGGGGAAACGAGTGGACCAAGATGGTGGAGTATTGTACGTATCTTGGTACATATATACGATATATATTGTATACAGATGATGAGTTGTCAGTTGGTGGACCAACTTGCTTCCCTATCTGTGTGCGCGCTTTTTGACGCAAGATCGACGGACCAAATTATGCCTTCCCGGGTAGTTAGCTTCCGAAAGAGCAGAATTCACAGTGATATATGTGACACAGACAGTGTTATCTAGGTCCCTAAACTTTTAAGATGAGCAGGTCCTTATCGGTGTCATCTCAGTCCCTGTTTAAGGTGATCATCATAGGTCCCTAAACTTAGCAAGTGACGTCAACCCTGTCCAAATGTAATAATATTAAAAGTCGCCTACAGTATTAAAAGTTTTCTCTATTAAAAGTTACTTCTAATTTTAATATTATTTAAAAAGTGTTAATAGTCGTGTTATTGAAGTAATTTTTCTTTGTTATTAATACTATAATATTATTAATAAAACTTTTAGAGAAGTTACTTCTATAATACTACTATTAAATTTTTTAAAATAATACTAAAATTAGAAGTAACTTCTAATAGAGAAAAGTTTTAATACTATAGGAATTTTAATATTATTTTAATACTATTAATAATACATAAATATTAAATTAATTTTATTATTTTTCTATTTTAGTTTAAACCTAATATATTTGTTGTTGTAAATTATTTTAATATTTTAAATTTTTTTGCTGATGTAAATTATTTTATATAATTTATATTTTTATGATAAATATTACATAAATAATGATTGATTAATTAACACATGTAACGTACGGTCAGCGTGCCTCCACGGTAAAATCGCGCCGACATGTGGGACCGCTGAGTCATTTGTAGGCTTGGGCCATGTGTGGTCTGGTCACACTAGCCACTTCCACTTTTGGACTCAGATCGGGTAACGTTCCTTCGGCAAGTCACAATGTAACGTGCGGCCCTATATCCAGCGTTGAAACACCATCCGACGGCTAAAAAATTTCCCTCACCTTTTCACGCCATCTCCCTCATGGTGGCCACTGCAGGTGGAGCTTCACGCGCCATGCCGCGCCGCTCCAACTCCTCGTGTCGCCCTAGGAAGTCGCACCGCTACAACGCTCTTGCGCCATGCCGCCATTCACGCCTCCTTGGAAGGGGCGGAAATCGAAGCCGAGGAAGTCCCGCGCCCAGCCTTCCCTCGCCACGCCAGCATTCGCGCCTCTCCGGAGAGCACAGAAGTCGAGCTGAGGAAGACCCGCATCGAGGCACAACGGAGGAACTCTCTGACACCACGCCGTCCTGGAGGAGACGGAGCTCCGCGCTGCTGTGATGAAGATGGTAGCAGACATGGATGTCCAGGAGGCATGCCGGCGCTGTGGAGGAGCTCTCTGCAGGGACTAGATTCAAAGATCCATTGCTTGACTCTATGGTTCATGTAATTAGATAAGAAATTACTTATCACACCAGATTCTTCGTATCTGTACAATGAAATTAAGAGGCCCATCTTGAGATATTGCATTGATAAAACTTATGAAAATTGAAACCTGAACTGCAGCAGATTTGCAGCATATTGATATTTCCTTTATGTGTTAGACATATTCCCTCTGTAATGGAGAACACCACTTTGCATCATCAGATTTGCACAGAAACAAAAGCCATTTTGGCTCTAGAAATACATCAGATTTGCACACAAACAGAACATTTTAGCAAGCACACGATTGGTAAAGAGATAAGCGCACTTTAGATTTGTGTGCTGTGTTCCAATAATATTTGGTACCACTGAAGCATTTGACATGTACATTTAGGTCACAAAAGACTATAGTAAGGTCGCAAAAGATTACATTTATGCCGCAAAATACTATAGTTAGCCATGTCCAAAATGCTATCTAACTAGCCTATACATACTTAGAAGTGAAGGTTATCATCAACACAAGTTGTAGCTGTTATGAGTTGAGTAAAACTGCTAATGGCATTGTATTCTTGAGACTGTGGAATTGTTTCTTTGTTGCTGCCGTCATTCTCCGATTGGACTTGGGGCTGAACAACAACATTTTCCTTCTATTGCTGCCGATGAAATTAAAATGATTAATTTAGATTTAGATTGACAAAAGCACGTATAAATATATAGGTTATAGGTTTGTAACATGCCATCCAAAACTGTCAAACCTCAACTGAATTTTTAAATCTCAAATCAACTTGAGGTTTTCCCTTATCAAGTTCTTCCATGGCCTTTCACATAAACCAGATTTGCCTTTCACAATGCTTCTGCCGTAAACAATAAATAACACATAGATGAAACATATCAATTCTAAAGCAATCAATAAGTTAGCCTATCTAAACTCCATGTGGTGAACTACTGAACTATCTGAACTGAATTGCTGACCTATCTGAAGGAACTGAAGTACTCAGTACGCTCTGAAGTTTGTATTTTGCAGATTTATTTTTAATATTGCAAATCACGTATGCACAACAAGAATGTGACGAAGAAGAGGTCTGATACTTGTCCTCATGGAGATCCTCGACGGTGTCCTGGGCTGGCGGCGACATTTCTGAACGGCGTCCCGGCGTCGGTTTGTGCAGCTAGGCAGCTCGACCCCTCCGGATGATGGGCGGCGGCGCAGGACTGCTCGGGCCGACGTAGGGCTGCTTGGCTCGGGCCGGCGGCGACGCTGCTGACCGGCGTCGTCTTGTGCAGCTCGACGGCTCGGCCCCTCTGGACGACAGGCGGCTCCTTCACACGGCGAGCGCGGGTGCGGGTTGATGCAGCCCGACGAAAACCAGCGCGCCGCCTAGCTTCACGGAGGAAAACTAAAGTATCCTACGAGAGAAAGCTGGCAGCCGTTGGATGATGTTTCAACGCTGGATATAGGGCGGCACGTTACGCTGTGACTTGCCGAAGGAACGTTGCCCAATCTGAGTCGTCCACTCTCACGGACTCGCCCACCCACCACCGTCCTCCTCCTTCCCCCGCGCCGATCACGCCACGCCCGCCTCCCTCCGTCCATCCAGATCGGCGCCGCGCCTCCGCCCCCACTGCCCGCGTCGCCGCGCTACTCGGGGCCGCCCTAGGGCTAGGGGCGGGGATCCGCTCGCCCCGTTCGCCGGGGCGTGGATCGATTCGCACCTCCTCTTCTCGGTAAGGAAACCCACCCTCCCTCCTGGGCTGGCTGGCACATAGAACCCCAGCCCCTGCACTCATGCTGAGATTCGATTCGACTGCACCGCTATAGCAGTTTGTTCCCGCGAGCTTTTCTCGCCGCCAAATTTGCTCCGCCGCCCTGCATTTGCCATCTATATACGGTTTGCGGGACGCGTTAGCTGTGCCTGTGTAGGTGGATTCGATTGCTGGACTAGTGTGCGGTGGCTAATGACGTTCTATACCAATTTAGTAGTAGTTAACAGCTCGTAGGTAGAACACACATGGACATCCTTCCAGATTGTTGATTGTTTCTCGGCTTCACTGGACTTGTTCCAGCCAGTTAGCAGCGTTGGGGGCTTTACTCAACTTGAATACTTGATTGTATATATAGAAGTAGTGGCCTAGCTCACTGAGCCATATGAGACCGGGTTACCCCACACATCAGCATGCTGCAATGAGTCTGAGTTGCTCAGGATCCAAAGCCTTGGTCTCGCGCTTTCCACCAAAACCCCACCAAGTTGTCGAATCTGGATCTGAGATTGACAGATCCTTCTAGACATGCTTCTCCTGCTGCGAGTATTTGGTGTGTGCTCTTAGTGCTGTGTGAGGTACCATGTGCAGCTGCACGCAGGAGCTGCCTAGATTGGGCACTGTGCGCATGCCTCATTGGGTTGGTTGAGGCAGGTCGTGCTGCTATGTTGTGTTTTGTGAGATTCTGGACCTTTTCTTTTTCCTGGTTAGCCCTTTGCTGCTACTTTGTAGTGGTTATTTTGCTCACCCATAGGTTCTGGATAAAATTGTGTGTGGGTTTAACATATAGCCTTATTGTACTAGCTCTTTTCTTTGCTAAATGTTTGCAACTGTGCACTTTTTTTCACTTGTGATTTCTTGGCACCTGATATAGCTCTGTGGAGATGTCTAAGAGTTACCTTTTCACCAGGATTTGGAGGTTAGAGTAATGAAATAAAATGCTGCTCAAAAGCAAGTTTAAGTTGGCCACAGCCATTGGCATCGTGCTGTCGATGCTATCGCTGCTCGTGCACCTTTTTCTTGCTAATTATTCAGCTGGGGGCATTACAAAGTACACCATGCACATGGACGATGTCCTTCCATTTGGACCGGTAATTCACATGCTCTGACCATGTCACAGTATCAATTCTCATTTCTCAAATTTCCTTAGTTTTATAATGAAGGAATTTGTGTTTACTGTGGTTACGTTGGACACCTATTTTCACTGCAATCGTCGATTATATGTCTAACATCTTTTTCTATGCTTCTTGGTTTTTTGGCAGAGGCCTCGACCACGGAGACTGTGGGGTCCATTGGTCCCACTTGATCACTTGCATCCTTTTGCGAAACCTAGCAAATCATATGCTGGTAAATTGATCTTAAACTTGCACCTACTTTATTAGTATTTTCATTGTGGCATCTTTTGTTCAACTATGTCGTTTGGTATTTTTTCCTTTGGGCTTTGCAAGCCTTGTAACTTGTACAGATATTCTTTGTTCTTTTGTACATACAT